AATAAAGGCCATATATGACAGACCTACAGCCAACATCATACTCAATGGGAAAAAACTAAAACCATTTCCCTTAAAAACAGGAACAAAACAGGGATGTTCACTTTCACCACTCATATTCAACATAGTACTGGAAGTCCTCGCCATAGCCATCAGACAGGAAGAAAACATCAAAGGTATCCAAATTGGAAAGGAGGAAGTAAAACTGTCATTATTTGCAAATCACATGATATTGTACATAGAAAATCCTAAAGACTCTGTGAAAGCACTACTAGATTTGATAAACAAATTTGGCAAAGTAGCTGGATACAAATCAACATCCGGAAATCAATGGCATTCTTATACAGCAACAATGAACTTTCAGAGAGAGAAACTAAAAAAGCAATACCATTTAGCATTGCAACTAAGAAAATAAGATACCTTAGGTATAAACTTAACCAAGGATGTAAAAGACCTGTACTCGGAAAACTATGGGACAATGAGAAAAGAAATAAAGGAAGATATAAACAAATGAAAGAATATGCCATGCTCATGGATTGGAAGAATTAATATTAAAATGTCCATAGTACCCAAAGCAATTTATAAATTCAATGCAATTTCTATTAAAATGCCAACAGCATTTTTCACAGACCTAGAAGAAAAATTTTGAAAATTTATATGCACCAAAAAAGACCCTGAATAGCTGCAGCCATCTGGAGAAAAAAGAACAGAGTGAGAGGGATCACGTTTCCTGACATCAAACTGCACTACAATGGCATTGTAATCAACACGGTTGGGTGTTGATACAACAACAGACATAGAGATCAATGGAACCGAATAGAGTCCCCAGAAATAGACCCACACCATTATCGTCAGTTAGTATTTGACAAAGGAGGCAAGAGCATACATTGGAGTAAAGACAGTCTCTTCAATAAGTGGTGCTGGGAAAATTGGGCAGCTACATGCAAAAAAGTGAAACTAGACCACCAACTTTCAGCATACACAAAAATAAACTTAAAATGGATAAAAGACTTAAACGTAAGTCATGAAATCGTAAAGATCCTGGAAGAAAACATAGGCAGTAAAGTCACAGACATCCCACGTAGTGGAATTTTCACTGATACATCTCCTAGGGCAAGAGAAACAAAAGAAAAAATAAACATATGGGACTACATCAAACAAAAAGGCTTCTGCACTGCAAAAGAAAACAGCCTCAAAATACCAAGGAACCCCATGGTCTGGGAAAACATATTTGCCAAGGATGTATCTGATAAGGGGCTAATTTCCAATGTGTACAAAGAACTCATACTACTCAGCAAGAGGAAGACAAACAACCCAATTAAGAAATGGTCAAAGGACCTGAATAGATGCTTGTCCAAAGAGGACATACAGATGGCCAAGAGACACATGAGAAAATGCTCAACATCGCTAATCATCAGAGAGAGGCAAATTAACACCACAAAGCGGTTTTACTTCACACCTGTAGGAATGGCTGCCATCAACAAATGACATGTGCTGGTGAGGATGTGGAGAAAGGGGAACCCTAGTACACTGCTGGTGGGAATGCAGACTGGTGCAACCACTATGGAAAACAGTATGGAGGTTCCTCAAAAAATTAAAAATGGAGCTGCCTTTTGACCCAGTGATCCCACTTCTAGGAATATATCCTAAGAATCCTGAAACACTAATCAGAAAGAATATATGCACCTCTATGTTCATAGCAGCACAATTTTCAATAGCTAAGATTTGGAAACAGCCAAAGTGCCCATCAGTAGATGTGTGGATAGAAAAGCTGTGGGACATTTACACCATGGAATACTTTGCAGCTATAAAGAAGAAGGCTCTTGTACCCTTTGGGACAGTTTGGATGGACCTGGAGAAAATTATGCTGAGTGCAATAAGCCAGGCAGAGAAAGACAAACATCACATGATCTCACTCATATGTGGAATCTAAAGAACTTCATAAACTGATGAACAGAATAGATTCAATGACATGGAAGCATAGATGAGACTGATGAATGACAGATGGAGGGAGGAGGGCAGAGGGATGGAGGGGGAGAGAGTAACTAAAGAATTTATATGCATATAAGCACAACCCAAGGACATGGACAATGGTGTGGAGAGGGACCGTGGAGGGAGCTTTACGGGATGGAATGGGTCATGGGGGAGATTAAAGGATATTTGTAATATTTTAATGGAAAAAAAGAAAAAAAGTCTTAAATGATGGGAAATGCTTACTTATCCTCAATAGTAATAAAATAAATGTACATTAAAATTACAAAAAAAGATTATATAACTAATGGAATCTCTTCTTTAATGTCTTTCATGAGAGCCATCTTTTTTTTTTTT